ATCGGAAGAATAGTGTTTGGTGGATTACAAATGATATTATAAGCACTCCACGTATTAAACGATCCATTTGCGAAGTCAAGCCAAGCACACATATCCACTTCTTCGGTCAAAACTGGAGGGGCATGATCAAGAATAAAACATCAGACAATGTCAAGTAAAATATGCCTTATATGTTGGATTCCCCCTTAAAATTGATATAACAGGATATAGTCTTCAAAATTTCCTCCACAAGCACATCCTGAATGGCAACATTTAAAATTACTGAAATATTATGGAGTTAGTAATTTGACCGAAATCGAACCTCAAATCCATCCCCAACTTTCCAGATAATATTTTCTTTCACGCACTATGTCCTAAACCGAACATAAGCCCCTCCACAAACTTAAAGCATCTGGCTTGGATGAGACTTCAGGCATCATAACATCCCCACACTTATATTTCGCCTTCAAAACTTGTACCCGTAATTTGAGGTATAGTACCCAACAATTATTCATTGTGAATAATGAGTTCATATGACGAGCATTGTGTATATCGAGTCCACCGTCCACTTTCGGTTTACATATATCCTACCAAGCCACAACATGTTTTTTCCTTTGCTCTGAATTGTCTTCCCACGGGAAATTTCTATAGTGCTTGTCTAGATTGTCACATAGCCCCTGGACAATAAAATTGTTTGCATTGTATACAAATATAATGTTGTAATCGCATATTGAGCAAAGGTAATCGTTTGGCTAGCCTTCCAACCACTTAATCTCTTATTTACTTTCTCTAAAACACCCTTATATAATGACGTACAAACTCTTTTATGTTGCATAGAAAAACCCAAGTATTTATCCAAGTTATCAATATGATGGAACCCAAACTGATTGCTAATCTTCTCCTTCACCCACCAGGAAATATTATTAGAAAAGAAAAATATGAGTTTTCTCTTAATTAACTAACCTTTTGTCCAGAGCTAGTAAAGGTCCAAGAAAGTCTGGATTATTTCCACTTGATCAAAAAAACCTCACGAAAAATAACCAAGTCACCTACAAAGTCCAAGTATGGAAGAGTTTGTAGAACGTGAAACGGCGGGCGCAAGTGGAATAAACCTGGAACCTGAAACACTGAACAAAGACGTTAGCAAAATTCCCTGAGGCGTGTGATGGCACTGACCTTAAGGACTTATTCGCGGGATACGCGCAAGCCCCCCAGGATACAACAGGGTCGTCTTAGTAATCTGAGGAGCAGAACTGGCAGGCGAAAATTATGAGAACTCAGAGAGGGAGAGTAGGAGAAAAGCATTCGGGTGTTTTAATTAAAATGTCGTGTCAGTATGTATAGAGTCTCAGAAACCCTAATAGGATCTGACCGTTTAAGGAAATTAACCCGAATTAATTAAAATAATAAATCTGTATAATTAAAGAAACTCATCCGATTTTTTAGTGATAAGATTTGATCGGTTTTTCAAAACAGAATGAAGTTTGAATTTTGAAATGGAAAAACGGTCATATTCGGATAAGGTTTCTTTAATTAATTTTAAGAAAAGTTTAATGTAATCAAAAATAAAAATATTTCCGGATATGATTATCGCACGCGCAGGAGGGGGGCAAATCGACAGATTTGAACTACAATGGGCTCACAAGGCCCATTCTCACGTGCGCGAGCCCACTACCCATTGCTTCCTCTTTGGAGGTTTAAGGAGCACTTTAATATATAAAGGCTCTACATATAGGTGGACCAAGCAATGTGGGACTATTTCCTTTTGAAATATCACATATATGTGCAACAATCCCCCACATATTTCGAAAGGAAATACTTTAAATTTAATTACATTAAAAAGAGAGATAGAAAAATAAACTGAGTTCTCAAATTGGTTGTAATACATTGGACCTGGTGTAGCAAGCTATATGAACCAGTCTTAGATTGATAATACTTAACATACAGTGAGATCGGTGTAACAAGCTATATGAACCAATGCACTTGATGTATATTAGTGGTTTTATCAATCATATTACACCCCCACAATTCATTGCCGTTATCGCTGTTTTGCGCTACTAGGCCATGCGCGTGCCCGGTATTCATGAGTACTCTAGAGATCTTGCCAAGATCTCATGCAAGCGGCCCCACTTGACACTCATATAGGTGATTTCATCAAGTGCATGCTGCAAATCATACACCACCCATAAGGGATATGAAAATCATTAAAAGTTTTATAAAGTGTCAAGCTTTCTCATCATAAAGTTTGACAATAAAACTTACCCTCTCAGTAATGCAGCTCTAGCACTTTCTCATATTTAAGGAAGGGACAAAAATGTAATTTTAGTGCTAGCAGAACTAACAAGTAACTTGTTCTTACCCATATGAACCCTATTCATGGGATCTCCAATCACAAAGGTTGGGTTACCATCACTTGTTTGTTTTCAATTGGCTTTAGTCCCATTCCTCTCGATGTTTCATAAATCATTTTTCTCCCTAGGGGTTTTGTCAGAGGATCTGCCAAGTTTCCTTCTGACTTCACATAATTGATGGAAATTGTCCCATCCTTCAGCAGCTGCTTTACTATATTATGTCTCAATTGTATATGTCTATTCTTCCCATTGTACGATTTATTCTTAGCTATGGCTATTGCTGACTGGTTGTCATAATGTATTGACACTGATGGGGTTGGTTTCATTTCTAGAGGAATGTTTGCCACGAAGTTTCTTAACCACTCAGCCTCAGTGCTAGTCATTTCTAGAGCTACAAACTCTGACTCCATGGTTGATCTAGCAATAATAGATTGCCTGACTGATCTCCATGCAATCGCACCACCACCAAGTGTAAACACATAGCCACTAGTGGATTTTGTCTCATCTGAATCAGAGATCCAATTAGCATCACTGTACCCTTCTAGTACAGCGGGAAATCCACTATACTCAATACCATAATCCATGGTACCTCTCAAGTATCTCATGAGTCTCGCAAGCGCTTCCCAATGATCTTGATTGGGACAATGGGTATATCTACTCAGTCTACTTACTGCATATGCAATGTCGGGTCTAGAAAAGTTCATCAAATGCAGTAAGCTCCCTATAATTTGGGCATACTGAGATTGAGCAAGAGACTCTCCTTTATTTTGTTTTAGTTGAGAGTTAACGTCATAAGGGGTAGTCACAGACTTACAGTCATAATAATCAAACTTCTTAAGAAGTCTTTCAACATAATGTCCTTGGGATAGTAAAATACTATCACCCTTCCTTACAACTTTAACTCCCAAGATTACACTTGCCTCACCCATGTCTTTCATATCAAAATTAGATGCAAGAAAAGATTTAGTTTTAAACACTATATCATCACAAGTACCAAAAATGAGCATGTCATCCACATATAAGCATATGATAACACAATCATCATTCATAGATTTGGTGTACACACATTTATCAGCACTACTGGAACTAAACCCATCATTAAGCAACACTTGATCAAATTTTTCATGCCATTGTTTTGGTGCTTGTTTTAAACCATATAAGGATTTTAAGAGTCTACGCACATGTATAGTTCAATTTAATTTATTTTCACAAAATAGTATTTATTTTAGTGTAGTTTTGATATTTAGCAATTTTTTTGTT